TTTTGCATAAAGGAGATGCGCACGATTGCATTAAACTTCTTTAGTTATTACATAATACGATGATGAAATAAAATACATTTTCTCCTGATGCCCGCGCTAAAGAGTTTCGTTCTAAGTACAGTTAAGTACAGCGTGCGGCGTCACTGAAAAGCATTATTAAAATTACCGTAATCGACCTGTGCAAGCCAGGTGAACGATGCAGGTGCGACCGAGAGCAATACTGCTCTGCCATACTTGCAGATGGCTCATATATATACTAATAAGATCTCCTTTCAAACTTTAAAATTTTATTTTCGCGTAAAACCTCTCATTAATAAACACATCGCGCGCGATAACGTCGCTTTACGTAATCTCCGCATTTTAACCAGACAATTTATTGTGTAGTTTAATATATTCACGAGAACTCTGATTAAGTGCTACGCACAGTATATTTGTGTGAAGATATACGCATAAACTATTATACGTCATTTGCATTATACGTAATAGTATTTATCAAAAAAATTTTATGTTGAATCGTATTACGCGATTATTATTGCCTAATTAATTATTGTGCGCATCTCTTTTTTTTCTTTGCTTCAGCTTATTTATTTATTTGAAATGAGATATATTATAACCACACATATATATATATATTAGATATTTGTTTTTATTAATTTTGCATTCTTAATAAAGTGTCGATAAAGCATTAACTTCTCTTTCGTTTGATGAAGAACTTATATTAAACATAATTGAAAGTAATTCTTAATTTTATGCCTGCTAAAGAATTTTATTATCGACAATCGTTTAAAGCAATGAATAAATATGTAATCTTAGGTGATGAATCTAATCGAGTACGTGGCACGGTATATAAATGTCCCTTAGATACTTTTCTTATACGAGAGAACCTATTGGACGTTATGTCCGATGACGAAGATAACAAGGACGATCTCGGCAAGGCTGATTAGTCACGAAGCGCTTATTTATTATCGCGTATACGCATCATTGTTCTTAGTAATTCTCTTGCTTAATAGCCTTGGAAATTGTCGATAATTTCTACAACCGTTTCGAAAAACGGTATGAATAATATCGAAATAACGCGGTCGTTTTACGATATGTATACATAAAAGCAAGAATTTAGTTAGAAATATAATATATAAAGGAATTGTTTTTTACTAAAAATAATTTTATTTATAACTGACGGGATAATATATATAAACAGTTAAAAATATAAAAATTTAGTATTATATATATTATACACCATTATGTTATACATATTATGTTAAATTTTTATATTAATATTTTTATTAATATTTTTTATACATTTTTATTACTATAAATTTTTAACTGTTACTATCTCTTTAATTATAAACAAATGATTTCTTTTAGACAGAATAAGTTCGAGTTTCTATACAAGTTAAAAATATAAAATTAAAAAATGTAAAAGCTAAAAATATTTTTTAAAATTCCTTTTTGTGACAAAAATATTAATTAAAAACAAAGTGTTAAAAATGGACACCTCGAAATGACGCGATCGAAATATAATTAAATGTACGTTTAAGGCTATTTACGTAATCCACAAATATTAAAGTGGTACAGAGATATTGGAAGAAATTGTTCTATACAGGTTAACATTTTAGAAAGAATTTCGTATTTCAAAATACGACTTTGTAAGTCAAACATTCAACGTCGTAAGGATTGATTCAGAATGCGTAAATATTTATACGATATATCTTATAGTAGACGTAGCGTGTCTCCGGATGAGACGTCGTCGATTCAGACCGATCTCTCTAAGAGACGTTATGTAAGAACCGCTCGAACTGGCCGTGAACTTAACGGCGTCGTCGTCGTGGTCGTCGTAGTCAAACACGGTCGCCTCCCTTTCCATGCATTTTAACACGTTTGATGCATTCGTGTATATTTAAAAAAGTTTATAAGTATTCAATTTGTTAGTGATTTTTGTTGCAAAATAATTATTATAATTATTACAAGTATAATAATTATTCTGTAGAAAAGAATGGAAGAAAGAGAGAAAGATATATCCATAGACAACATATGCACTCTAATAAAATAAAATAATATATATATATATATATATATTATTTATTATTTAAAAAATATTTGTGTTAGTTATCAATTTCATTTTTTTTCGTTTTAATATATTTATTTTTTTGAATACAAATTGCTAAAATTTTTTTAGCAGATATAACATCTTGTTTATCAGATAATAATAGAAATGCATTATGAGTGTGAAGTATATATTTATACTTTATCTTTACTTGTAACTATTATAATCATATTTTATAGCGCATATGCTTGAGTAAAAATATTTGCACAATTAAAAATCAATCAAAATATTATTTCATATAATTATCCAGTTATATTAGAGAATAACACATTCCGCGTCGAATTGACACTACTTTCTAATAATCATCTTAACTACTGCATCTAGATATCGAGTATTTTTTTGCATTTAATAAATAAAAACAAATAATAATTCGCTAAAAATTTGAACTGTTTTAAGATTATATTTTCTAAATATATTGTATTAATTAAATAATATAAAGATATTCTAAATGTTATCAATAACAATTTCTAAATTTTTTTATATTTGCAAATAAAATAATTTAAGATTTTCTGATAGATCAATAAAAATTTATTAATTTATTTAGTTTAAATTCTGTTAAGAGCAATTACAAATAAAATATTAAATATAATTCTAATTTCCGCTAAACATGATGCTGACTGTTGGTTCTCAAAAAATAAAGTATTTTCACGTTGCTTACTAGACACGCGCGATCTCAAGAGAAGCATTACTCAAACATAAACAATACCCAGAAATCAGCAGTTCTGTTCTGAAAATTCCAGATTCTCAGTGATGATAGCTCATTGACATAGAGCAAGAAGTTATATAGTTTAACTGTGTTTAAAAGTTTAGATAGTTTTCATGTAAAAATAATCAAGACTCGATTCAAATCAAAACATAGTAATGGAAAAATTTGAAACTTTTATCTTTAAAGAAAATAATTTATTTTATGTGTAATACTTTAATTTTTAATTTATTTAGAAAAGTATACACTTTAGATTGGAGTTAAATTGTTAATATTAATTTTTAAACAACATATATATATATATATATATATATATTTTTTTTTTTTAATAAAACATAAAAGAATACCAAACAACATTTCATTATTTCTACTATGTTATAGAATTCAGATAAAAGTTTATTCTTTTAAAAAAATATTTCTGAAGTATAAAGATTATTAAAATATTTCAAATTATTAAAAGCAACCCTCTTAATTTCTTTTATATAAAAATCATATGTTGGAAAACTATATTTCCATAACATTTTTGTAAAGGAAGACTCGATATCTAGATGTCAGAGAATCTGTGATTAAAATCTCGAAGACGGATAGGAGCAGATGTTTACGAGCCGGTTACGCAGAGGTCAATAATCGCAGTCTGTTCAAGTATGATAAAAAATGAGTTGCAGGAGGTAGTAAGAGAAGGAGCAAATGTGCGTGAGTTTTATTATTGGAGAAAAAGAGAAGGCAAATATGTATGTGCTCGAGATATCATCATCTTCAATGCGCACTTTGATTATTCTACAAAAAAAAAATAAAGAAGTAGTATCACATGTTTTTTAATGTTTTGCAGTATACAAAGCTGATGAGAAAATTGTAGAGGCTTTTTAGCGATAAATTTATATTTAGAGATAAATTATTTCTAAAAAACCAAAATTAATTTTAAATAATAGATAATTTGTGTGATAATTAAAAACTGACTGAAATGTCAGTTTGACTCATCATTGCGACATATTTGACTCTATGCATATTGTCTTATATCTATCTGCACATATCTCGATTAAAAAACGTGTTACACATTTTAAGCAACTAGTTTACTTGTGTTAATTCAGATATAATGATACCTTGAAAAAAGTGATTTTATTAGCACAAAATATTTACAATTTTGATTAATAAATCGAGACAAATTATGAAACGCGAATGATAAACCAGTATATTTCTAGTCTTGCCTGAAACATTATTCAGAGATTAGATGTTTCGTAATAATCTTTATATAACCGTATTACTCTTTGCTTGCGTATAAACCAAATTAAAAATGATGTCGTCTGATTTTTAGAATTTTAGAAATATTGATAAAGCTGTTCCTATAATATCATTTTTAAAATTCTGCATAACTGAGTTTAGGTAGAATTTGATTCAATTAATATATTTCATTTTCATTTAAAACTGAAGCCACACCTGAAGCAATTAGTGACATACACTAATGAAATTTTAATATCAATATGATATGATATGATAAATAATACGATTTTAATGGAAGGTAAAATTTGATAACTAAATCTTTATATAATTCATAGAATATCGTTACACTATGTTCACACAGCGGTGCTCTTCTGAAATATTCTATAAATTATATATTAAATTACTTAATCATTGCTTAATCATTACTTAATAATTACTTAATCAAAACATTTTATTTTTTTTCTAAGTTAGTTTCTATTCTTTCAAATATAAAAACTAGAAAATATCTCTTACAAGATGTTGAAGAGGAGTATCAAAAAAGATAGATTTCAAAATCAAAAAGATTTTTTTATAATATTCTTTAAATATTTGTACCAGATTTGCAATATAAAATATATTAAATGCGTGGCTTCATTCTTTTAAGAAAGAGTAAAATTTTCGAATTATTTATTAAAATTAAATGTTATATTTGTCGCGCGCGATTTGTGCGATGATACAAATTTGAAATAAAGAAAAAATATGAACAATTTATATAACTTTCATAGCTTTTAAACTACTTGTAACTATACATACTGTAGTGAACAAGAATGATTTTGTCTTCTCCTACGCAATATATCCCGAGCTCTAATCACTTCGCGTTATTGATAAAGCGTAAACCAACACGTTAAATCGGGATGACAAAGTAGTAGTTCATGATGACACAAAGGCAAGGCGCGTTAGCGTTTTACCGAGGAAGAGACGATAATATTTACTTACCGAGATGAACTGCCAGGTTGTATCTTTCGAGCGCTTGACCCAAGTGACCTTTCCTCACGAGGATATCACCCTCGTGCCTAGCTCGATTGGCCTCCAACTCTCGCGGCCACCATCTCTCCACTAGTCTCTGCACCAGCACATTTGTTTCACTTACAGTAGCGATCTTGATCCCGCACACGCGACAATTCTTCGCCGGTTCCACGCAATTCCTGCAGTACGTGTGACCGCAGCCGGTGGTCACCGGTTGGCACAGAGTGCCTTCGCACATGGGACACGCGAAGGATGTCTCGAGTCTTCGTCTGGAGGTCGCGCTGGCGCCGGCCATGTCCTCCAGGAGTGCGGTCGCCAGGTGTTTCAATCTCTCGGCCGGCATCGAGGTCGCGGTTAAACATCTAGAGTAAATCCCAATAGATTCCCTTACGCGACCGCACTTCGCCAGAGAGTCGCCGTAGCCGAGCAACTCCTCGCAGCTCGATCCTTGCTGCTTCAGGCAACGCTCGTATAGCTCCACCGCCAGATGGTAATTGCGGGAGGTGAACGCCTCCTTGGCGAGCTCCGTCATCGTGCTATCCCTCGTGTGTCACTTCTCCTACGGTCGGAGCAAAAACGGAGTTATATTCTCTCGCGCGCGGCACGTTTCTCCTATGAATCACCCACGTACACGCTACGGATATCCGCTCGGGAAAATATGCCACTCGATGCCAATTTGGAGATGCCGACATGCATCTTGCATAGAGAGTCTCTCCCTATACGTGTACGAAAAATTAATGAGGATTGCGATTTATCACTTAATCCCGGAAATTCACTAGCGGGAAGAGGATTCACCGGATTCTCGTCGCGACGACGCGCAGCATCAGTGATCGTTTGACAGTTGACCACGCGTGCTGCTCCGCACGTAACGCGCGTGCGACGTGCGTTCCACACAGCACGCTGGCGCACTGAGGACTGACGCCTCGGCTGTCATCAGTCGCGAGCCACTGTCAGAGTCGGCCCCGCTCGGCCGACCGTCAGTAGAGGGTGGTGGTTGTGATGGTGCTGCAGCGGTGGTGGTAGCGGCGGCGGCGGCGGTGGTGGTGGTGGTGGTGGTGGCTGGTGAAGGAGTGCAGCCGCCTCCGGAGGCACGAAGCCAGCGCCACGTACTACGCCGAGGGTCAAAGGGGGTCGCGAGGGAAATTATGGACCACGCTGAGCGTAGCCCGAAGAACGTGTTACCGCTTCACTCGTGTCGTCGCGACGGCGTGTTCGCGATGCGTAGGTGTTGTTGTCGCGCTGTGCTTCTATTCGATGAAAAGCGTCACAACCGGGGCTCGTTTCTTGCTTTAATCGGTGATCCCCTGGTCCCCGGTCGTCATTAAGATTGAGCAAATTGTCATTGTTATGCGCAATTATACGGAGCATTTCTATCGCCTTTGCGAAGACTTTTGTATGATTTTACTAAATTTTCTTGACGATATTCTCCCTTGGTCTTTTTCATTGATCTAAAGAAATAACATCTGTGATGGGGTGGTTTTCCCTTTAAAAAATGTTCTTGTTTTTATTTGTATTTTTTCAAATTTGTAACTGGTATAATGAGAATATGTCGCATTACATTATTCTTATGCTTTGTAGTAACTTCTATGTATGATTGTCATGCCTGTAGCTTATTTTAATTGTATTTATTTATTATGAAATACAATAGATCTTTATTGCATTGCTTTTATTAGAATTCTTAGTTTATTAAGATACTTGTATAAAATTCCATATTAATATGAAGCACTCTCTTAAGTATCTGCAACAATCTGCAATTTTTTAAAAATTGTCTCATCGTTTGTTTCTAAAGACATCTCGTATCATAATATGGTCTTTTTTCAGTCATCAAATAAATTTCTAACACATCTATTTAATATATTTTTTTTTTTTTTTGATATATTTAACAAGGAAAGCACATGATCGCTTATTAAAAGATTTCCTCAAATTGCTTTGTAAATAAAATTTATATAAGTCTGCTGAGTCAAAAGCCGTATTGTCTTCTTATCATGTACGATTCATGTATGATAAGTATTGATATCACCTTGAAATTCAATGCTGTCGGTCAATGATTCATCGACTGTGCTAGTGACGTAAATTGTTTCGATTTCCTATTAGCACTCTTCATACACATGCACATTTGCTTCTGTCGCAGAACGTTACGTTATATCAAAATCCAATTGTATACGATTTTTCATCACCGCCAACTCCGCGTATCGTGAATTTTATCCCAGATACCCTCCCGGACACTTGTTGTTGTAACCTTGGCTCGATCGACCGGATGCTTCCATGAGAATGGATCTCCTCTAGTCTCGCCGGAACGTCAAGTGTGCACAAACTGTACGATGACGCTTCTCTCAGCGAGAAGAAGCGTGATTGCACGGTCGGTGCACTGAACGCTGAACAAGCTTGACGTGAGGAGAAAATCGAATAAATCGCTTTTCACCGGCAAATGTCAGCCCTTTGCTCTTTAGAGTTCTCACTGAGCATGAGCAGTGACTTGAGCCCCGAGATGTTCCGTCTGTCCGATGCGTGCATAGATGCACGCGTGTGCGTGCAAGAAGTACGCAGACGCCATGGGGCCGCGCTTTGGAATAAAGGGAGAGGGCTGAACTGCGTGCTGTGAGGGTGGCAAGGGAAAGGGCGGCGAAGAATGGGAGATCAATATATGGCGAGTTCACGGGGTGATTAACCTCTTGCGTTTGCCACTTATAGGCAAGGAAATGTCCCTTTTTACTAGATCGAAGTTTGACACTAGATTAATGGATTTGAAGTGGACTTGTGTCCCAAAATAAAAAAATTTTCAAGAATCTAATTATAAAGATATTTATTAAAATAGAATCAATTTTAGAAAGCTTTTGAAAGCGTAAATATACATATCAAAGTTTGATTTTCAAACGAGATCTTGAATGATATTTTTCGAAAGAATAATTTATTCTCTGTTTATAAATATATTTAATGTTAGATATAAAGTTATAACTAATTTGCAGCATTTGTCCTTCTTAAAAATGTTTAAATAATATTTATGTAATTAATGATCTTTTACTAAACCGATGATTAATCTAAAAAATTGCAGTTTAATAAGTATAAGTATTTTGAAGTAATTATTCGATGTTTTTGTTGATTTCTTCCAATTGCTAGTTTACTATTGCCATTATCATACATTATACTGTAATTTAAATAATTTTATCGGTTTATTTGCCACAGATAAATCATTAATAATATCAGAAGAAAAAAATAGGAGTGTGACGATGATTTTAATCAAATCAATCTTTATTCATGGAATTCTTATTCAATGTAATATAGATGGAGATTTATGATTTTTAAGTCTATAAATGTAAAATTTAGCTGATATAATTAAGAATAATTAACTTTGATTTTACTGAGAAAGTGTAATTCTAATAATTTATAGATTTGGCATTTATTTACTCCAGCAACTCATGAATTTTATATTATATACATATATGTATATAAATTGATATGTACATAAATACATATAAATATTAATTAAATATATTTTCCTTTTCAAGACATAGTCTGACATTTTTATTCATTCTGATTAGCGTGATACTTTATAAATACATCATTCATTGCGATTCAATCGCAACTGAAAATATTGTGCGTAATCGCGTTATTGTGTTAGGATGTGAGGTGGATGAGTGTCAATAGTCATAACTGAAATGACAAACGTATATTGATGTCGCATATTCTTACGTGATTGTTCGAGGTAGTTAGATTATTCATTTGTGGCGCAGTGTTCAAGTAGAGCATAACAAATATGACGTATTTTGTTTTTCAACAGCGAAATGCGCGTGTATTGAATAAATATTTAACTCTAATAAGTTGAAATTTATATACAATAGATTGGAGGAGCGCGTAGTAGATAAATAATAATCATTAATGATGCTGATTGTTTATTATTTGGTTTTAATTTGTGCGCGTAATACATACAGCATATATTCCTATTTTAATAGACTTAATTGAACGTTTTAACCTGAAATGATGCACTCTTGCAAATAGTTCTCGCAGTTGCGTCGCGTTCCACGAATAAATTTTCTTCCTAATCATACAAAATGCAAATAGCGGGAATCATTGATGATGTACGGGGAAGACGTATATTACACATATTATTTCTTGCTGTGTGTCGTTACCCATATATCACGAAGCTATCACGATGTGAGCAATTACCACGAAGTGGTTTTAATAAAACCGTCTCTAGTAAATGCTTCCGATTTCAATATGAAAATAAAAATGTTACGTACAAGGTAGACGGATATTACTAATCATAAAAATTCACGTTTAAAAAATATACAAAAAGAAATTTTCTGCGCAGACGCGTGCAGATTTCCCGGGGTAATCATATTTTCAGAAATTAAACATATTAAATGAATTTAATACGTATTAAAAGAAGAAATAATTGAAAAATAAAATTTTATATTAATGATAATTAAAATATATATCAGATACTAAAAAATTATACAAGGAGCATATTTTATAAATAAAAGGAGATTGAGACTTAAAAAAAAATCTACATAAATAAGATAAATAGAAACATTAATTCTGTAATTAATATTTATATATTTGTCGAGGAGAATCCAAGTAAGGCGGTGCTGAAATTAATGTCGCTATTTACAACATTGCTACTGAATATTATATCGCATATGTGTCTATGTTTACTGTGATCCTGATCTTTCTCTCTCTCTCTCTCGTTTATCCTTATTTTTAGATATTTAAAAATTTTATTTTTGCCAATTAATACACTTCGTCGCGAATTGCTCGTACATGCGTTTATTTAACGATTCAGAATATGTTTACCAACAAAATAAACTGCTACAAGGAAAGTCCAAATCAATAGCCGATTGCACACGCTGATACAAAAGGAGAACAAAAACGATAAATATACATGTCTGGCATGGCGGTACTCCGTTCAATTTCGATAAACACGGCGATGGAGCTCCGAAGGATGCAGACGAAAAACGATTGCATCTCGTCGCAAAATCCGAAAAGCCGCGCGCGCGCTTAATCTCCAGCTGCATTCGCGCGTTTATCTGACGTCTTACGTAAGGTATTTGTGCCGTACAAAGAGTCACCTTTGCCGATCGCAAAACAAATTGTTAATCATCGAAATACGGCGTATCTCTTGTCGTTACGTAAATGGTTTACACACAGTCGGCGAGGCGTGCCGCGAATGTCGTCGTACCTGCTCCTTTTGGCGACGGACGAGACGGATTTTATCATGCGTGGCGCAAACCGCGAATCTCCCTCGTCATCCTAGAACAGTATTATCGTCCATCTGTTTATTGAGGAGAGACGAAATGTAAATAAAATGTTAATTCCGAGCCTCAATCAGATCATATCTGAATTTCATTAATTTCTCGGTGTTGTCAGTTATGCTCCAACAGCGTCGTAAGATTTATTTTAACATTTACAAAATTTAAACACATGACGGATCTTTCGTTGCAATATAATTGTGTCTTTACTTTTTTATTTTAAATATTTATTTTTTCCTTTTTTAATTTTCATGTAATGCAGATATCTCTCTTTTATATTGTTGCCCGTCAACTCTTATATATTCTCGACGACGATTGCCTCAAAATGCTCGCGCTGTGACATAACTTAGCCGGCCCACTGCGCACTCGTTATTAAGCACCGCATTTCGCAATTAGATGCCTTATGTGGCCACGCGTTTACTAGAGCGTTGAGCAACGTTCAACGAGTTCGAACACAGTTGAAAAGTATGGATACCGGCTTGGATTCCTCAATCGGTTGGGTATATATATACATATGTATATATGTACGACTAAAATATTTCGCGTACTTGCTGGAGAGGTTGCGCTATTTCGTAAAAATGGTTAGAACAGCTTTGAAAGAGAGGTTTTAGAAGAGGTGACACATTATGTAATAGGTGGCCTCTGCCGATTAATTTACAAAAAAGAATCGACTTACGGCGATAAAAGGAATTGTTTTAATAATGAAAATAAAATGCATCGTCTTCGTGTTTTTGATTAATAACAATGCGATGCAATAATGTGCAATCGATGATAACATAATTTGTTATTTAATTCTTTTTTTTACCGTAATGTCAAAATCTGTTTGACAAAAGCAGCATTTAGAATTCAACTGCTCTTTTTGTTATCCACTTAGGTATACATCGCGCATCATTATCGTATCCATTCCTTTTTTATGAAGGAAAATTCCCATCTAATCTAATTAAAAATTACATACTGCATAACGAAATTATTATATAAACGTTTTATATTAGACGATGATTTCCTGACTCTTATCAGAAGAGTCGGCGAGTTCGAGTGGGGCGCGATCACGATGCATCGCGACGCGTGGACGCACGCGCGATTTACACGCGTGGATTTGCACGCGCGCGCCGCGACGGAGACGGAACGCCACGCCGGTTGCGTAAACGCGACTTAACCGCGCGGGAACTGATTGTGAGAGAAGAGAGAGAGAGAGAGAGAGAGAACGAACGAGCGCGGTGACGGTGCGGTCTCTCGCGAATCGACGACGGACGTCGCATAAAGCAACACGGCACTAAAAATAAAGCGGGCTCACGGTAAACAGTGAGCCGCTTTATGTAATGAATGAGCGTGAATCGCGCGCGCCCGCGATACAGCTATATAATGCCGGCGTGGATACGTCCGCTCGCGAGCATCCGTATCTACTCTACTGCAGTAACGAGATGCGCGTGATGCATCCGCGGACGACTGTATCTACTGCAACGACGCGACGCGCGTGAATGGCCGCATTGCGAGCCAGACACGCGGATGGATTTTTCCTTTTTCTTCCAGTAATCGGAAGAATAAATGTCGTGAAAATTTCAGACACTTCTATATATAACAGATGTAGCAGATTCTGTAGCAGATGTTATATATGTGCCTTAATTAATATATTGTGAAATGAAAAATGTCCACTTTCCACAAATTTAATATAACTATGTATGGCTAATTGTAAATTTTGCATTGCGCATGAAAGGAGCGATAACAAACCAATTGATATATATATATATATAAATAATTATAAAATAAAAAATATATGTATATGTATATATTAATTGATTGATTTACTCCTTCTTTAATTCGGAAATCGAAATTTATACCGTACATAAATAATATAAGCAATGATGGATTTATGCATTTGATGTAACTTTGCAAATTAAAAAAATCAGAGTCGCTCTTACGTTTGGTTAGAAAAAATTTAATTTGATTTTTTCTCGAGTGTAAAATACTTTATGTTAATAGATTTATGATATCAATATCAAGATTCTCGATCGAGGATAAATCTCTTTGCATCGCGATTGCCGGATTACAATCAAATCTTCCGCACTTTTATCTATATTTGACAAGTATTAAAAGCAAACATATATCTACTACAATGTTACTACACGTATTTAAAAGCGATAATTTCTCTTTCCATCAACATAATTTTTTCCTCATTCATTTTATATTCGTTGTTGCAATGAAAACATTCGACGCTGATGTCACTTTCTGCGATTTCTGTGCGTGATAGCTTTATATTTTTGCAAGATAAATAATTTGTCCGCAAACAATTTTATTTTGGGAATTTTTTACCTTTTTATCGCGGCTGCAACTT